CTCAGGATCCTAAACAAAACTATTGCTCCTCACTTTCTTATACATAATTTCTTTGTTCTCAAACTAAATGATTACAATAACTAGGCTTGTTGAATAAGCCAAAATGGTCTATTTCTCAAGCAATGCGCTTAGACACTCCGCTGAACTAGAAACAAATTGTATTAATTTGCTATGTAAAGGTAAGCATGGATCAGGGTTCATACCAGTGGTGGGATTCACATTTTTTTTATTAAAAATTGTGGGCGTGGCTTGGTGGGCATGGCAGGGAAGGATACTGTAAAATCTCCAGTCAGAGGTGGTACTTGCTGGTTCTCTGAACTACTCAAAATTCCCACTACTGGTTCTCCAGAACTGTTCAGAACCTGCTGAATACCACCTCTGGTTCATACATCAAGTTGAGTCATAAGAAAGGTGATTTTGTCAATGTGATTTTTGCTTAGCAAGTAGTGCCTATCCAGCAACTGTATTGCATAAACTGTAGCTTATGACCTAAAGTGACTATAAATCCAGTTCTTGTATTTATTCAATCCATTGGTTAATGGAGTATCTGCTACGTAGTGTGATGTACAATTTAAGTCATTGTATATCTCGCTGTTCCTGTTTAGCTTTGAGTTCAATATTTTTTATGTTCCTACATAAAACTTGTATTTTTTTTTTTTTTAAAACAAGTTTTATTAAAAGTTTCAACAACAAACAAATCATTACATATTAAATCTTTCCCTGTCTTTCTACAATAATTTCCCCAATATTCTCATAAAACACAAACAAACACAAACAAACATAAAAAAAATCTTTTAGTAAAGTACCTTGGCCCAAGTTACCTCTCTTTGCATGGGCTAAAATAATAGCACATATCACTCTTCACATTTCTATCTTATTTAATCCATCTTAATTAAATCATTAAATTTGTATCTTTTGCCCATTCATTTATCCCTCTATCTCTTCTTATAATAAAAAAATTTTTTTTAAAAAAAATTTTTTCTCCTGAAATCACTAATCAGAGTATGATGCCTTTCTATCCTTGTATTTTTAACAGATTTTAACAGATTATATATCCAAGAAATACAAAATAGAAAGTCTGAAAGAAAATCTCCATCAGGTATTGCTGCTGCTAATATGATGATGGCGACTGGTCACAGAGTTAGCCAGATATTATCTGTTCACAACAATGTAAAGTCATATTGGCCTTTGTATGAATCACATTCTTCCCAAGAACCTAAAATGTCATAATGTATCAGCATATCACATGAACAAATTGAAGGAGTGCGGCCTTTTTCAGTTGATGAAAATTTTGTCAACCTGCAGAATTTCTAAGTGCCATCCAAACATTTTTGGTATGGCACCCAATGCACCACAGCTAGTTTATGCAATAATCTTTCAATTTGGATTCTCAGATCTTGATACTTTGTGATCTTCTCCAATTCTTTGCCTTTGATTCTACTATGCCCTAATATTTGCCACATGAATTCTCCATACTTATTTACTTTTCAACCACAGTTGTATCTAGTGTTTTATGAGCAACAACTTGTTATTACTATATAAACAAAAATCTGCAGTCACATCTGCCAGGTCTTAGCTACTGTTGACTTCCATAGGAAGTTAACTTCAAGTTAACGTATATTTAATATATGCGGGTGAAATCCAAAAGCAGGGAAGAATTTAACATTTTGTATTTGCATATTTATTGTTGCTTCACACATTTGAAAATTACGTTTGACAACTTGGAACTTTATTTATTTTTTTTCAATCCAATTAAGCTGTTGGGAGACTCAATTACTACATAACATGGGTTGGGAACTCCTCAAATGCCCTCCATCAGATACTTCTTTTATTTCCTATTGCTTTTTATTAACAGAGTGGATGAACTCATTAGGAACCTTGTTATCATTAACTTTGCCTTCTTCATTATGACAGACATTTTATCTCTGTGGCCTTTAAGTACCACCTCATTTAGTCCAAAATTATTCAGACTATGAAAGGAACAGTGCATGTTCCATTCACTCCTCGGTTGTGTATGAGAGAATAATCTTTTATGTGCAGATTATTTGAAGTGCAAATGACTCAGAAAAAGAAATGGGGTTCCTCAGCTCCATTGCCAAGTCATTGGAATAGTTGGCCTAAAGCATACAAGAAATAGAAAAATTTCTGAAGTAGAAAATTTGCGCTTTGGATTTCTTTTAAGGGGAAATGTTTACAAATAAATACAGAAGTATGGAGAAATCAGTATTTCCATAATGATACTTTTGTAGCCACTACTATAGTTACTGTTTATATATGTTTAGCTCAATCCTCATATTCATCCTATCCAGCTTTTCAACTCAACTTGGGACTCCTTGAATGTTTTCATCAGGAGTTTGTCTGACAAAAAATTGGATAAGGATGAGATTATCTTCAACTTTATTTTTAATAGTTAAAGAAGAACGTAAGCAGGATCAAAATAATTATTCTTCCCTCCGGTATGATGATCCTTAAATAATTATTTATAACAGTTCTATCTGAAAAGGAATAGCAATGAACTGAATTTTATATCAACCAACAACGTGATTTGTAACTGGATAGCAAACAGATACTGAAGCAAAATAAACAGGTGGCTTGAGATATATTACTATACTGTTGTCAGAATCCATTAACCATAACAATACATATAGGCACTTTTATAAAATGACAGTTGTGATGTTGAAGAACAATATTAAGGACAATATTCATATTTAATATATTTTAAACTTACAGAATGATGATACTTTTAGCACACATTATTTGAAAAGGTTTGTTTTAAACTGAGATTTATTCAATAAGTTTGTGTGCTGATTAAAACCTCATTTAGTCAACAACAAAAAATACCTGGAGAGATTTACAACTGAATCTTAATGCCTCTTAATTTGTTAGATTAAATTAATTATAAATGCCTCTTAATTTGTAAGAAATTTGGAGATACCATTGGTCTCAGAGAGAAAGAGTATACAATCCTTATTTAAACCTCCTACAGATTTAATGCCAAAACTGATCATCATGACTGCTAGTTATTGATTTTATAAATTCCAGAATCAGTTATTTGCAAAACCCGGAATGTCATATCACAGCCAACCGCTCAGTATATCACATCATGGAACTCAGGAGTCTCACCACAAAACCTCAGGATGTTACAACATAGCCAATGATCCAGGAGATTACAGCACAAGACCCAGGATGTCAAAACAATAGAACTCAGACGGTCATCACACAACCCATTACCCAGGTTGTTACAACACAGGAGTCTGAGAGACACACAGTCAATTCCTCAGCCACACATGTTCTTACAAAAAAGCCAGCCAATCTGCAAACATCAACTCCACCAGCCAATCAAGAAATGACAACACAGCCAACCTCCCCACCAGTATTTATAGAGAGATGGAAGCTCAGATCACGTTTTGCTCGCACAAGCACGAAGCCGAAAGCACCAACCTGAAGAAGGCAAGTGGGACCTCATCAAAACGTTGCTGAAATACTCTCAATCTTACACGGGAAAAGACCCGAACACACCAAGACCTGTATGTATGTATGTATGTATGTATGCATGTATGTGTATATACATACATACATACATACATACATACATATATATATGTATGGTATTCAGCTTTGTTCGGGTATTTTCCCACATCATTGTAGTTGTGCTTTTAAAGTTGTAGCAACGTTTCGGCAGAATCTCATCTGCCATCATCAGGCTTCTGTATTGTGATCGTCTGTGAGTCAGACTTTTACAGTTGTTTCAGTTTTAAATTTGGGCCTAGCCTAGTGCTGTGCCAGAATGGGTTTTTCTCCATCCTGATTGGTTGGGAGCCTTGTTCTGTGTTTATTGGTCTTGGAGTTTGCTGTGTTCTGCTTGATTGGTGTTTCTAATATCTTCTGTCTGTTTTGTGGCTTTTTTTTGTGTCTTGATTGGCTGGCAACATTTTGATCCTGTATTGGAGGCTTTTAGTGCAGCTTGGCTCAGAGTAAATGGACGGCTATCATTTGTTAGGAAGCTAGGTTTCATCTGGGTGCCTGGTTGGGGTGTGTTTGAGCTGGAGGTATCAGGGGGGATCTGTTTGTGCCCAGATGTTTGCCTGGCTAGTGATGTGGAGCTTTTTTTGTTTGTGAGTGCAGGCTTCCAAAGAATTGACAGTCTGGTGGAATCATCTCTTCTATCCATGCTTTCAGGTCTTTTTTCAATTTATATGGCTTCTCTGATAATTCTGTGGCTGGGGTTTTCTATAGTGGCTAGGGTTTTGGTGCCATTGAAGTTGATGCTATGACCTGTGGTTTTCATGTGTTGGACTATTGAGGAAGTGTGTTCCAGCTTTTTTACTGCATTTTTGTGTTACCCCCCAGTGTGTCCGAAGACCTATTCAGTTTGAATCAGGCAAAGAAGCAGTTCAATTATTCTGCCAGTAATGCGTCCTTAAATGTGTCCCTACTCCCCCACGAGGTCAAACACAACCCTGATGAGGCCCTCAATGAAATTGAGTTTGACACTCCCGATCTAATAGAACATCTTTAAGAATAATTTTAAAAAAACGTGGGCGCAGTGGCTAAGATGCTGAGTTTGTTGATCAGAAAGGTCTGCAGTTTGGTGGTTCAAATCCCTAGTACTGCATAATGGAGTGAGCTCCCATTACTTGTCCCAGCTTCTGCCAACCTAGCAGTTCGAAAGTTGTAAAAATGCAAATAGAAAAATAGGGACCACTCTGGTGGGAAAGTAACAGTGTTCTATGTGCCTTTGGCATTTAGTCATGCCAGCCACATGACCACAGAGACTTCTTCGGATTGCGCTGGCTCTTTGGCTTTGTAACAAAAATGAGCGCTGCCTCTTAAAGCCATAAACAACTAGCACGTATGTGTTAAGGGAGCCTTTAAAGAATAATTGTAGAATTTAATCAATGATTTACAAATAACATAAAGTGATTGTTCTTTAGCGGTCAATCACCCCATTGTTATTTTTTTTAAACAAATGGTACTATTTTGATTCTTTAAAAGCTTACCTCTTGGAGAACCCGCTTCATTTTCAACAGCAATGTTTTTACTGCTGTACAGTCTTGCATCATTAGACGGAAGGGCAAAGATTCCAGACCGCCACCTTCCTCCATGGCTGCAAAAGGCCATTCTACAGATGGGCTGTTGGCCAGCTGGTTTCCGCGAGGACATCGTGCTTCCCCTCGATCCACATCCTTGGATAACTTAAGAGAAAGGTTCCTGTCAAGAAATAACATCCATATGTTAGCAACAAAGGTGATATTCAGCAGCTTCTGACCAGTTCTGGAGAACCGGTAGCGGAAATTTTGAGTAGTTCAGAGAACCCGCAAATACTACCTCTGACTGGCTGGCCTTGCCCCCATCTATTCTCTGTCTCCCGAGTCCCAGCTGATCGGCTGGGTCATCTTTTGTTGCCTTACACATGAAAATGAGCTGGAAAGCAGGTTAGTAGGATAGGGAGGGAATGGGGATTTTACAATATCCTTCCCCTGCCACTCCTACAAGGCACGCCCACCAGGCCATGGTTCGTCCACCAAGCCATGCCCACAGAACTGGTAGTAAAAAAAAAAAAAATTGAATCCCACCACTGGTTAGCAAGGAACCCTAATGTGGGTTTATTTTTAAAAGAAAATGAATTAAAAAGATGAAGCACTGTTCAAACAAAGGCCTATTAACTTTCCCTAAATTCCCTGCATTCCTAGCACAATGATCCATAAATCTGTTACATCACAGTGATTTCTGAAGAACTTGAAAACAAGGTTCCATACTCAGCCCATTACTTACCTATTTAAATCTGAGGACAACATCTCAATTAATAAGGAAAAGCTATAAAACTCATAACCCTACAAGCCCTTTGAGAAAGAGAAACTGATTCAGATTCATAGACAAATAACTTGGCACAATAAATTCCAAAATTAAAGAGCAAAAGAGAAAAGGAAAAGAATACAAATAAGGTAATGAAGACAGGAGAAAGAGAAAGAGGAGGAGAAGCAAAGTGTTAGTTAGGAGACAAACAGGAATATCTCAGCATGCATAAGAAACTGAACCATGCAAATTACTTTTCTGACTATATACTTTATTCTTTGTGTACATTTTGGTTCTAATTTTTCTCTCAATAAAATCCTAACAGCTGTCTATATAGCTGATCATTTTGAATTATGCTGTCAGGTTGCCTGCAACTTAAATATGGCCTTCTTGCCTTAATGGCCTTCTTGCCTGAGCCCCACAATAATTATGCATAATTAGTTCATAATCAGTGTTAGGTATAACATTGATACCAAATATGGTTTGGGTGAATAAATATATAAAACTTAGATATCATGGTTTAAGTGCTTATCACTTTAAGTACAATGCAGCAGGCAATTAGCCGATTAAGGGTGCGGTTAGAAGTTACAATATAAGGAAGCATTAGAAGCTGGAAAGCTGTCTGTAACTGTGTGCTGCTGCGACTTACTGTGTGTTACTGTGACTAACTGTGATTACTGACTGTGAGTGCCTGTGACTGAACTGTTATTGTTTGCTACTGTTTGCTGAATATCCAGCGTTTGTTTCTCTGGAGAGTGAAACCGGAGGAGGAGAAGATATCTTTATCGGCTGATAAAGATATTGCAAGGACTCTTAACTTGGACTATACTAGTGAGTCTTACTGGATGGAAATACTGTGAATGACTTAATGGACTGAATGACAATGCTTAAACTCTAACTGGATTAAAAACTATTTAAACTACAAACAGTGTTTGTGTTCAGTGTGTGTATACTCTGGGGCCCTTCCACTCTCGTTTTGGCTTCCTGGTTTGACTACTGCTGCAATACTCTTCTAGGGGTTAATCCCCAAACCCTAACATTGGTTATGGGCCCAGCAGCATAGTCTAAATAACCAGGATATAGCAGAGAGAGTTGGTGTGAGTTGCACATTACTGTAAAAACAAACTGTTTTAATTAGTTTAAAATAGTCAAAATATCTGAAGAGTAATGGCACAAGTAAATTTGTCACAACTGTCCATGATATCCAGGCTGGATGGAACAAACTATGTTTCATGGTCAATGAAATGTAGTTTACTTCTACGCAGAGAAGGTTTGTGGGACATTATAGCAAACCCACCAGATGTGAGTAGCTGGGATCCTGCTAATGATGATGATAACGAAAAGTTACAAGACTTTAAACTGAAGAATGAGCAGGCTTTATGCATCATAGGACTGACTCTCTGTGATCAGCAGCTTGTCCATATTCGTGGAGAAGAAAATGCTGCAAACTGCTGGGAGAACCTCAGGAAGATTTATGTTCGGGACAGTGTAGGAGCACATATAAATCTTACACGGAAGCTTTTTCGAACGCATCTTCAGAGGAATGGAGATATGTTAGTTCATTTAAACTGTATGAAGAGCATTTTTCAAGATTTGCAAGAAAAAGAGCTTATATTTAATGAACTGCAACAAGTCTACATAATATTATCTTCATTAGATCAAAGCTATGATGACTATGTGACTTCGTTAGAGGTATTGCCAAAAGAAAGCCTCTCATTAACCGAGATTACAGGCAGGCTACTAGAAGAAGCCAGAAGAAGGCGTGAGCGTGACGAGCTGAGAGAAGATAAGAAAGAAGAGAAATTATCTTCAAAGCTTGAAAGAAACCAGCAAAGCAAAGTAAAGCACCCGGAAGAAGAGAATTTATCTTCAACAGCATACACAATTAAAAAGTGTTTTAATTGTGGAGGCAGAGGACATTTGGCAAGATTTTGCAAAAAGAGAAAAAGCCAGAATGTAAAAAAGCCAAAGAAAGCATTTGAACTAGCCATGTTTAGCAACTCTGATGTGAAGAATAATCTATGGGTGGTTGACAGTGGCGCATCCCACTGCATCACAAGAGATAAGACAAAATTTATAAAAATGTCTAAAAGCTCTAAACATATATCTCTTGCTAATGGCTGGAACCTGAAAGCGAAAGGTCAAGGTTTTGCACGTTGTCCGTACATAAACCAGGATATAAAAATGTTGTATGTACCGCAACTAAAGTTTAATTTGCTTTCAGTAAGGGTATTAGATAAATTAGGTTATGTAATTACTTTTAAGGATAATAATTGCATAATTGAAAAAGATAACAAAAGGGTAACTGCAGCTTTAAATGGAACATTATATGTCTTAGATAATAGTAAGAAAGGGGAGGCTCAAACTGTATTTAATAATATAAAGCCTCATGATGAATGTATCCATTTATTGCATAGGCGTTTGGGGCATGTAAATTTTAAAATGCTAAAACGTACAGTTGAGTTATCTGAAGGAATAAGGTTAAAACCTTGTGATAAATATTTGCGTTGTAATGTTTGCTGTGAAGATAAGAGCAAAGTATTGCCTGCAAATAGGCTAAATGGTTTCAAAACAAAAGAACCTTTAGAAGTAGTATTTGCAGACATAATAGGTCCAAAGAAACCCAGTATGGGGGGTGCTAGATATATACTGAGCATTATGGACCATTATTCTAGATATGGGTTTTGCTATTTAATGAAAAGCAAAACTGAAACATATCAACATTTTTTCAATTGGCTTAGGTTTGCTGAAAGAAAGTCTAAACGACAACTGATAACCCTGGTGACAGATAATGGTACGGAATTTATTAATAACAAATTCCAGAACAGACTTAAGGTAGCTGGAATAGAGCATAAGAAGTCTGCTCCATACAGGCCAGAACATAACGCTTTTATTGAAAGAAGAGGCCAAACACTACAGGCAATGGTTAGAACAATGTTAAATGATTCTGGGTTACCTGATTCTTTGTGGGGGGAGGCTACAATGTGTGCTAATAACATATTGAACAACGTTGTTAATACAACAACAGGTGAAATACCATTCACCAGGTGGCATGGCAGGAAACCTGACCTAAGTTACCTGCACACATTTGGTGCACCAGCATGGGTGCATATTCCTGCACAAATCAGAAAAAAAGGGCAACATAGAACTAAAAGATTTTTCTTCGTTGGTTATCAGGCAAACCATAGGGCATATAGATTTTGGGAGAAAGGCACATCTAAAGTGTTATGTAGTGCTAGTGCCCAATTTCTAGAACATGAAGGATGGGAGAAATTAGAACAGGATGCCAATAAAGATGTAATTATTGAATCCTATAGAAATCCCATTAGTTATCCCTGTAACTTTAAAAATAAAGTAAAGAGACAAATACAGGATGAAATAGTGCCCATAAAGGAAGAAACAGATTCAATAGCTGAACAGGATGAGGAAGATGAACAGGTAGTAGTTCAACAAAGTCCTCCTGTAAGCCCTGTAATTCCCAGAAGAACTACACGTGTATCTAGACCGCCTGATAGGTACCAGGCTAACACAGTGTGCCAGATTAATCAAGTTCCTAATTCTGTTGAAGAAATTAAAAAGTATCCTACTAAGGAAAAAGAAAGATGGTATGCAGCAATGAATAAGGAACTGAATTCATTAAGTGATATGAAGGTGTATGAAAATGCCAAATTACCTGCAGGAAAGAAATCCATTGGCTGCAAATGGATATTTAAGGTAAAAATAGATAAAGATGGTAATTTAATCCATAAGGCAAGGTTAGTAGCCAAAGGTTTTAGGCAGAATGCTAATGACTACGATGAGGTGTTTGCACCTAGTCTTAAGGCAGCAACCTTGAGGGCAGCTTTAGTGTGGGCAGCTAGTAAAAACTATATAGTTAACCATCTAGATGTGGAAACTGCTTACTTGCACGCCCCATTAAAACATATTATTTATATGAAAAAACCTGTTGGTATTAAAAGTGAAAATAAGGATAATAATGATTGTTGGTTGTTAAAGAAAAGCCTCTATGGTCTTAAACAATCAGGCTATGAATGGAACCAGTATATTGTAAAGGAACTAGACAATATAGGATTTAAAGCTGGTTTAGCCGATCCATGTCTGTTTAAGAGGGAGACAAATGGGAAAGTATCATTATTATTACTATTCACAGATGACATTGCATTGATAACTGAAACTAATGATGAAGCAAATAAAATAATAACATCATTAGGAAAGAGAATAAAGATCAAGCAATTAGGGGAGATAAAGAAGTATCTCAGTTTGAATATAAAGAAAACACGGAAAGGTTATAAGATATCTCAGGAAGATAAGATTAGCAAATTGCTAAAAGATTACAAGATGGAGCTTTGTAAGCCAGCTAAGACTCCAATGAGTCAGGAGTTTAGCAACACTGATGAACAAAGCCCTGAGTTTGA